ATTTCTAAACTTTATCGATTTTTATATTAATAAGAACATAATTGTTTTTTTTTTTTGTTAATAATTTAAAAAATTATATATAAAATTATTTTATTAAAATTAATGTCCTTCTTTGTAGTTTGCATGTAAACGCATAAAGTTGCAACAACAGCAGCGGCATCGAGTTACGGAAACTATTATTTTGTAAAAAGTTAAAAATAAAAAATATATTTATTAGATAAGATATATTATAAACATTTATATACTAAAATTTCTAAAAAAATATTTAAAATTTTTTATGAAAATTGAAATAGAGTGAAGTCTCAACATTATTTACTAGACTAAATAAGTCAGACACTGATCTATTAAATTAAATTAATGTCAATTACAAAGTAAACCTTTTCGCTCCGTCAGCGCAAGCATACAATACTGATGTTAGTTTTTTAATGCAGCCTAAAGCTAGACGAAAGTGCTAGTGATGTCAATACTAAACTTGACAGGTTAATTGTAACTGACGATTAGTAGATATTCTTCCATTGCCTATAAACAACGATTATATACTACTCACATTCCGAGCAGGAAACCTAAAGACTGTAGTACCTATAAAGTGAAACCTCATACAAATCTATACTCCGTCATATTAGCTATAATAGTATTGCTCACTAGTAAAAATCAGAATTAGTGCCTTTTAGAAACAAATATAGACACCAAGAATACTATTTTCAAAGTTCAGGCAGGAGACTTAACATAACAGTCCCCATAATAGAATATTGAATATATGCCATATGTCTGAATAAAAGCTATATATGTAGACATATACATTAAGACTGAAAAGTTTTCGGAAATTCTCATTTAAAATTCGCGCGCTGTATATTTTTCGATATTTTAAGTTTATGTAGTTTGGCAGCACTGTCCTTAATTACTATGCCAAAAATGAGCGCGATCTGTCAGACAGTTCGTTTACGGCAGCTGTTGAAACCAGTTCACCTCAGTAGTGCGTTGCGAAATGTCTTCGACGGTCGTACGACCGTACTGAAAGGCTTTGTACCACTCATAAACTTGAGTTTTCGATAAAACTGATTCCCCATAAGCCTTTTGTAGCATTCGCAACGATTCTGCACACGAAATTTCGTTCGAAACACAAAATTTGATGCAAACTCTTTGTTCAATATTTTTTTCCATTGTTTTTTTCGCAACGCACTACTGAGGGGAACTGGTTTCAACAGCTGCCGTAAACGAACTGTCTGACAGATCGCGCTCATTTTTGGCATAGTAATTAAGGACAGTGCTGAAACTACATAAACTTAAAATATCGAAAAATATACAGCGCGCGAATTTTAAATGAGAATTTCCGAAAACTTTTCGGTCTTAATGTATAGCTGTAGACATATGTATATTATGTAGATATAGCCAAATTAGTGTTGCCAGAACCATTTCAGATAACCATAATATGAGTTATCGTTATGAGTTAGTATTAATCTGACGTAATATAATATCAGTAATATTATTCCCATCAATAAAGACGAAAGAGCAGCAGCCAGAAAGTGAAGTTAGAACAACGAGAAGAAAAGGAAGACCGAAAGAGAGATATAGTGACAGTGTTTGACAAGATCTGAGAGGTATGAATGTAGTCAATTGAAAGATAAAAGCCAAAAATGGAGAGAAATGGACGAATGTTGTAAAACAAGCTTAGATCCTACATGGACTGTATAGCTATTCTTATCAGTATTAATTAATTATTATTTGTCAGTATTTATCACGTAATATATATATATATATATAGATTATATATACAGTTTATTGTGAATTCATATAAATGAATTATATATATATCTAGTATGTATGTCATTCATACTACATATAAATCTCCGAAAACTATCACTAAGATAGTGTCCACAAATGATACGTCATTCTTCAAACAAAAGACGTGATGATACCACGGAATATTTTTTATGCGTTTGTCTTACTTTTCCAGATTCAGACTTATAGTACTCTAGTCAGACGTTGAAAGTAGTTTAAATATTAGGTTCTTAATTCTTTAAACCGTTTATAATCTCATTCAAAAGAAACAAAAAAATAATCTCAATTCGTTTTGTTTGTGGACGTTGACGGTCTGAGTTCTTTGTATCTTTCAACAAATCATTCTTTACAGGTGGATTTAGTGGCTTAAAGTCTCAAATAGTGGTTTTCGATTCTTTCCAACTATTTAAGAAAAAATTGTCGGAATGTCATAAATTTTTCTCTCCTATCTCTTTAAGGTTGTTACTTGTAAAAATTAATAGGTTTTTTGTATTAGTGAAATTGTGTGATAGTTAGTCGCAGGACTTACTGACCTATAGAGACTTACAAAGTGTTGCCTTACAGAACTCAGATACTGTGTGGAGTCCAAATCTAAACCTTATAATTAATCTGTCTGTTTTTAGCTGGGCGAATTATAACAGCTAAAAGAACTTAATCTTTACTTGCAAAGATTATAAAGATTGTATTAAAGTTATCACATAATTTCTCAGGGCATGTCAGAGAGTAAGAGTAAGAGTAACACATCACTCTTAGAAAATTTTCAACATTCTTACAGAATATTTTCAATCTTGTACAAAAATCGTTTAATAAAATTCTAAACTTATATATGCTTATTCATCCGATTAATAATTGAACTTACAATAAAATGAGGTGCTGAGAAGAGAACTGCTAACGTTGCGATTATTGTGAAGAGCGTAAAAATAATAAGGCACAAACGATCGACCACCATTGCGGCAAATTTCCAATCGCGTGTGATATCTCCTGTTTCGTCTTCTTTTTTGAGCTAAAAAACAAATAAATGAGAAATTACAGAAATATATAAATTGAATCAAATACAGAAAACCTTAACTAAGAAATATATTTAAAGTTCTTATATTTTACGATGTCCATTTTGAAATTATATATGGTAGATGCAACATACCTGGTCTGTTATCCATCGCAACTCCTTCAAAATTAATGCTAACTCATACTCAGCTGACGAGCTGAGACACGTGTGCGAAATTGCTTCGTGCATTCTGCCATCACTAACAGGACCCACAGGACCAACACTGCCATCATCGCCTTGTCTACAATAAACAATTATAATGGTTCAAACGAAAAAAGTTAAAAATAGTAGAGAAAAGCTCGAATGAATTGCAATCAATAAACCAAAAAAAAAAAAAATAGTAGAAAAATCTACAATTAAATTAAGAAAAAAGTTAATTAATTGATGATAGTTCAGGACTTTTATTTGTGAATAGCAGCAATTCATGGTAGTCATTTGTTCACTTGATTAGTGGAATAAAGGCGAAGTCATACTAAAGCAAATTACATTACTTTGAGGTTAGGTTAAAAGCTAGGTTTAAAACCTTCTGTATACGACAATAAGACGAGTTTGAAGATTTATTCAAATTAATTATTTATAAAAAATTATAGATTTAAGAATAATTTGCAATCAGTGATATTAACCGATAAAAATCTTATCGTTGTCGACATAAGATTGTACCCAAATTTAAAATCTTTTAATTGCCATTTACTTTAGAGCCCTGCAATTGATTGCACGTTAGTGCAATATTTTCTTTGTCCTTATTTATTTATTTTTATTAAGTAACTTAAGTGTGAGGTTTCTTAATGAATTTTTCGTAACAGCTTGCAACATTTTCACATCCCTTTTAATTTTTTTTTTATATTTTTTTGACGGTTTTAATTTGTGAAATGCAAATAGTCATTCATCATGTGCGCTGGCAATGCAGTTCTTGACAGGCTTCACGTCACTCTTTAGGGTTCCTCAAGGAAGTCAGTCAAATAAGTACTATATTCTTTCATTTCATAAAATAATTTCCATAAAATTAATTATTTTTATTTATTTTCAAATAAATTACTGAGACAATTATGAAAAATTGAATAGAAATATAAAAGCTAATGAGAAAAAATATTATTAAATATTATTAAAATATTATTAATAGTAGAGCAGGCATACTATTCCTTTCCTTGTTAAATATTCAGGTGTGTTTATTTTTTTGGAGGAGAAAGAAAAATAGATCGAAAGAGAAATAGATAGATTATTGGCTACAAATTATATTAAAATTCATTTGGGAAGAATTGACATCTATTAACTACACCTCAATGAACTAGGAAAAAGTCATTGTATTATTTCGTGTTGGTTTCAGGTCATGAAGGACATTAAAACAACCTTAGAGCTGCTTGCTTTGGCAATCGAGAAATTAAGAAACACACAGTCAAAAACTTAGTTACTGTGAGGAGTCCAAGTTTAAGTACTACTGGACGATTTATAACACCCAAATCAGACTAAAAACTTTATTAACCTATTCATCGCAGTCTTGAATAGACTACTTGCATTTAGTAAAGATTATATCAAAATTCTCACAAAATTATTAACAGGACACAACATGCTATGATACTTTTTCAACATATCAGAGATCAGTATATGATGATTTGTGAAATGGATGTTAAAACTTTTGAACATATTCTCTGTGAATATCCTGAATAGTGCAGCAGTTAACTTATACATCTAAGGAACAGACTTGTTGTTCTTCATAACATATAGAACCAGTGGCGTAACTACAGGGAAGCGACTGGAAGCAACGCTTTCGGGCCCACGAATTTAGGGGGCCCCCTTATAAATTTATGTATTCATTGTATTTATTTTTAATAAATTCTCAAAAGTGGGTCGAAACGGTTTGCCGTATAGTTGTGCTTCAATCCTCAATTTCTATCGGTGCTATATTTAAATCTACATCTACTCCATATTGCAAAATAGTCCATTAACCATTAACATATACCAAATTTCATTGGAGTATCTTTATTAAAAACGGAGAAACCCCATATCCGGTTGTTAAGTTTATATGGCAGCTATAAGAAATAGTAGTTTAACTTCAATCAAATCATATGGTGATCAAGGGCCGCTCCCAAAAAGTATGTGTGTAAAGTTTCATTCGAAGAGTTCAAAAGCTGAGAGAGTAGTTTGAACTGAAAAGGTATATATATACTTTACTGATATATACTTTATAGTATTTGCGACGTTTCCTTTAATGCGTTACGAAAATCTGGACAAACTTTATATACCCTTTTTACACTTTTTAGTGTAAAGGGTATAAAAAGATGTTAGTAGGGGCCTCTTAGTTAGTAGTTGCTTATAGGCCTGAAAAATGTAGTTACGCCACTGTATAGAACAAAATAAAACCATCAAAAGTTGGTTGAATAAAAGCCCTTTTAAAGCTACTGAGATTAACAGAACGTATTATCTGAGTCACATTCTCCACCTAATAATAATATCCTAGTTCACGTCTTCATAAGTTATGGAATTGATAAAGTAAACAATTTTCTATTGCTTTAAAGATATTTTCATATCGGAGCCTTCATCCCTTTAAGTTTTTCCGACCTTAGCAAAAAGCGAATAAGTAGCAGATATCTTCTCAATAATATGAGCTCAATAATCCTCGTACCAAAAATTTATAAAGTCTATTTTTGTAACTAAATTCCTCTCAAAGTAGTAAAGTTAACAAATATTTCGCCAAAGTTTAAAGCCTGTTTTGACTTTTACATGACCTGAAAATGGGCTTTCAGATAAACGTATACTGTAGGATAGTCTGACCTAATCTAACTTAATTAACATGGATAACGATCACTACTAGTAGTTATTGATTATCACATTCATCTTTTGTTTTATAGCTATTTAATATATATATATATATATATATATATATATATATATCAGTTCATGTAAATATTATACACTGTAATAGTTGGTTGGTCATTTTAAGTGCGGTTGAACATTCTCTTCAGTCTACAAAATTTTTTTTGGTGCCGTTTTAGTAATACAGACCCCGAGTGGAATGAAGTGTTATAATTATAATAAAAGATATAATTTTTTGAAGATCAATGTTTTCTTTCTTTTGACAAACAAAAATCACGCTCTATAAGTCTGTTATCAAAGTTGTCCTATTGTATGGTGCAGAAGCTTGGATAGTAACCAATAGTGATGAGAAAGAATTAAAAGTATTTGAAATAAAATTCTTTGGAAGATCTACGATCCTGTACGCGCTGGTTATGAGTATCGAATTAGATAACACAATGAGCGTTATGAGATATATCATATATTTTATCATATTCTATGTTAGTTAAAATAATGAGCGTCTTTGACATAGGTGAACGTATAAAAATTAAGCGGCTACGTTGTGTTGATCATGCTATGAATGGATGAAAAGGTTTTGGCGAAAAAAGGTGTTTGATTTCGTACTCGCTGTTGGAAAATGTGGTAGGGAGAGACGTACGCAACTTCGGTGGAAGGACCAGATTATCAATGATATCAAAATACTTGGTATTATCAACTGACCACAGCAAGCAATTAGACGGGCTAGGTGGGGGATTCACCGGATGTGACCAAGGACAATATACCTCTGAAATGGTCAAGCCTGGTCAATGGTCACAAGGCTTATTAGTTTTATAATACCACACACATTTCTTTAATTTTTGTAGAGTTTTGTTAAGTTATTCTAAGCTCTTCCTATGAAATATCAATATATCAAGTAGATTTTATTGCCATTTAAAATTGATTTGTAATCACTATACCCATATGTGGAAATACCATAAAAACTTTGGATTTTAGTAAATGAAATACACTTCAAAGGCCTTTGGTGTTTCAATGCGAACTTAAGCCCACTTAACTTCATCGTTATAATATGCTACCTTGCACACGGAATTGCGGCAACTAACCCCATTTTGAAATGCGCTGCGGCTCTCACTTGAAAATCTTCCCGATAATGCGAGCACTCGAATAATGCAGATGTGGTCTGAAGTTTAATGCTTAAATACGCATATACGAGTAGCTACAGATTAAGCCACATTTGTATCTGCCATGTACACGATTGTCTATCTGCCTGCATCATCAATTGTGCTTAACCCTTTGGCAATTTACAAGGCACATTCGTCGTATTTGCAGTTGCTTCCGTGTCTGCTTGTCTTTCTTGCTCGTCTGCATTTGTAACGTTTGTTACGTTTGTTGCACAGGTGTCTGCAACTCACAGAACTATGCGTGCAAATTTACCTGTGAACGTGTACGTTTATACGTTTATGCGTTTATACGTTTGTACGTTTGTACGTTTGTACGTTTATACGTTTTTACGTGTAGCGACAAAGTGAACTCTTACTCTGCACTCTACTCCTGTTCTTTTGTGTGAATCTCTGTGTGGTTGTGTATTGTTGTGTACATATTCGAATCTGTCTGTGTTCAGAATATGTCAGATAAGCTTCACTGGAGTGTCGTTATTTATTGAGAGCAATTTTCAAATTGATTTTATCGTTTCATTGTGACTTTCTTTTATTTTAACAAATTTTTTTTTTTACTTCTGTAACTTTTTTATCGGAAGTGTGTATCTATGAGTTTGTGAGGTAGTAGTGCATGTGTTGTAAGAGGAAATGATTACGTCGGAAGTGGCATGTTGTTGCTGTCATTTATTTTGTTATAAATGACAAAGTCATTGTGCGAAATTATTCTTCTACACTTTGTCTTTCTTTTGCATATGAAGTCGTTATTGAAATCAATTGCTTAACCGAAATTTATGCTCAAGCACAGCAAAAGTTTAGATACAAAAATGTATGAAACAATTTGCATAACAGACACACACTTAAGTGATTCAATTAGATCCATCTAAACTTTCCTGTTAAAATAAATTACTTCCATTGTTATCAGTTGGAAACTAATTTATGTGAAATTAAGATTTCTTCTCTGTATAACAAACAAAAATCTTGTGAAGAAGCTCACCATAGTGTAAAACTCAAAATGGAGTTTAAATTAATTATGCCATTAAAATAATTTTTATAGTAAAAAATATAAATAAGATTATTATAATTTTTATAAATTTAAGTAGTTTTGTGGTCTACTTCGGCTAATCCTATACTTCAGTGGGGCCACTTGTTGGACGGTGCGCTGTCCCAATGTCCCACCATAAGTAAAGTATAAATTTATAAGAAAAATTTTAGTTCTAAATAGAAATTTAATAGGAGATTAATTAAGGTGGACAATAACAGAACACCGAAAATAAAGATGGGAGATTGGGATCGGTATAAGAAAAAGTTCCAAAATACAGTGAATTAATTAGTAGCCATACATAGAGCAAACGCAGACAATCAATACCGCAACAACATAAGAGCTGCATGAATATGCGTAGCCTTGGAGGGAATATGGAATGGAGGTTTAATAAAAGTATGCCCGGAGTCATGTTTCATAATAAAAAAAGGGTCTTATAATTAGTCCACACCATAAATGGAAAACACCGAAGTCGGAGATACGATAGGCAGTATTGTCTGCGATTTATACCTCAACAACACAAGAGCTGCATGAATATTCGTAGCCTTGGACGTAATATGGAGCGAAAGTCTAATAAAAGTATGCCCGCACTCATATTTCATAATAAAAAAAGGGGCTCATAATTAGTCCACACCATAAATGGAATAGACCCAACTCGGAGGTATGATGGGCAGTATTGTCTGCGATTAATACCGCAAAAATATGAGAACTGCATGAATATATCCTTGGTTGTAGTATGGAGAGGATGTCTAATAGTATAAATGAGGAGTGCATAACTAGTCAAGATCATAAATGTAATAGATTGAAAAGCGGAAGTACATCAAACAATACTGTTCAATATTTGAATTTCATTCAAAGAAATAAAATAATAATTGTCTTAGTATGTATAATTGTAGAGAAACTAGACATGACAAAATAAGAAACGATCATATAAGAAGTGAACTATTATAAGTGTCCAACATAAAGTTGAGTACCGTCAATATAGCTGGTTGATCATATTTTAAAAACACCGCAGACGAAAATTTTCAAAAGTCTGCTGGAAGCAAAGCCTGACCGATTGGGAGCTAAACACTATCATTTGAGTGTTGTTTCTAAAGTTTTAAGAACAATGGGAAGAAAAAGAAGAAAAATAAGAAGAAGAAGAAGGAAAAGAGAAAGAAAATGAAAACGAAACAAGAATAGTAACGTAAAACTGTTAAGAATGTAAGAGATTTTCGAACCACAGTTTGATGGAAGAGATATATTGGGCGGCTAAGCTTAATATTTCAGCATTAAGTTTCAGAAACAGTGAGAAGAAGAGATTAAAAACTCTTAAATATGGAAAAGACTTTGTGGGAAGTACTTTATGTTGCAGCAGCAATAAAAGGGTTTGTTAAAGAAGCAACGTCAGAAAACCTGTTAGACACTTAAGATTATCATTTGAGGATAAAGTTTTAGAAACAGTGAGAAGAATATATAAAATTATGAACGAAACCAGAAAAATGACTTCGAGGCATTAATAATCCAAGACAATTTGTGGAAGCACTTCCCGCGATAACGGCTATAAAGAAGTTTGAGCAAATCACAATGTTTGTAGGAAGAAATTCTGTTGCGCACTTAAAAACTAACATTTGAAGAAAAACTTTTAGATAAAGTGAGAAAAAGAGGATAATTTATGGGCGCAAGAAAAGAATAGGTTAGAAAAGGAAGCGATATTGCGGGAAATACTCTATGTAGTTATAACGGTTTGATGAAGCAGAAGTAAATAATTTGAGTTACCTACATACTATATATTTGGATTTTAAAACAGAAATTGTGTCATTATATGATATCTGGAACTATTTAAGACTCAAGTTTTTCTTTCGGATTTACGTTCCTCGCTTATTTGTTTATTAAAAGTTGGAAGAATCAACGCTCGTATTTTCTAAATTTAGTTTATAGTGTCAAGTAGTAACAGAATTGCTTGTTTACACTTCTCGTAATATAACATTTCGGAGTTAATTAAAACTAATTATTAAATTAAAATGTTTCCTACCTTTTCGTTGTATATAGCTTACCTGTACATGGCTCTATAGTAAGTAGGTTGGTGCGGTAAGGTTGCGCTTGCGCACCGATGATTACAACGGAAATCATCGTCAATATCCAAGACGTTGGCCAGTAATGATTTCGATGATCTATTGAAAGTTTTTTTTGGAAAATCATTAGTATATGTATACATAAAATTTTAATTCATGGAATAATAAAGATGGTGTGTTCAATATGTAACGAAATATTTTTGCTCGTTTTGTACGAGGCACATACATACATGAGAAGTAGAAGATATACACACACTCTAACAATTATTTACCTTTCCTTAAGTTCTACATTCTGGATTTGCTGTTTTTTATCGCCGGCAGTTGATGAATTCGACGACGAGGGCGGCGGTGGGCATTCGTAGCCAACCTGTCCCGGCCTTCGCATGCGCAATATGCAAGGTAACCAATAAAGGAATATTACTCTTATCTGTGAGAGTTTTCAGAGAAAGTGTGTTGGGAGTATGAAGTTACAATATTGTTTTTTTTTAAAGTAATTTTTTTATAATTTTTTAGTTAATTTTTTTTTTTGCATTTTATTTTGTTAATGTTTTGATTTTAATATTTTATTAGATTAAATATATTTTATAGATGATTGTAATTGTTGTTGTTGTAGTTTTAGGTTTTTTTTAAACAATTATTGTGAAGATTAGTTATTG